GACTTCTGTTGGCGCAGGCGCAGTGCGTCCCTGCTGAGGAAGTCCAAGTTCAAGGTGAAGCAGTCCCAGGCGGTCAGGAAAACACCCAGACTCCAGCTACCCAGGAGGCACGAGGAGAGGGAGGGGTTGATGGGGCCGAAGTGTGAGTTACAGACAGAGAACTGGCCGTGGCACAAGCGGAAGGGTGCGGGGTAATAACGTACGTGCCGGGCTGATGCTAGCGATAGAGCCGTCTGAAATCGAGGATCTAATTATCTACTAATGTTTCAGAAGGGGAGCTGAAGCTGAAGCCTGTGTTCCTTCTATTATTGATGAAGCTGTGGCTCCTGGCTGAGCAAAAACAAAAGTGGAGAGGGATATAAACCTGATTAAAAAAAAATAATAATGTGCTCCAGTGAAGCTATTTGGAGGGACCGAGAAGGGCGAGTCCTGCTATGCCAGCCGTTTAACCATCACTAGAAAGGCCCTTGAAGAGTTCCAGACAGGTGTGTTTGTTTAGCGCGGCTGCCCTAACAATGTGCCACATACTTACTTGGTGGTTTGGGACACAGTGCCTGCCTCATCCCCGTTCTAATGGCTAGAGAGTCAAAATCAAAATGTCTGCAGGTCCTTGCTTCCTTTAAAGCTCTTGCCTCTCCATTTGGCTGTGGTTTCCCCAAGTTTACGGCTGTATCCCTCATGTTTCATGTGTTCCTGTGTCCTGTGTAGACACTTGCCATCGGGTGGAGGTTCCTCCTATGCAATTCAGAAAGGTCTCATTTCAAGACCCTTCCTGTCTGCAAAGAGCTTATTCCCAGGCTCGGGTTGGGATATGCAGGTACCTTTTGAGGGTCACCCTTCAACCCAACTCCAGTGAACACACGACTTTGTAAGCTGCCATTCTGCTTGGCTCTGCTTTATTATTTACAAACTATACTGGGAACCTGCAGTCAGGACGTTGCTTTCCTGGTCCTCGGGTATTTGGAGAGCTTCCTTTCTGGTATGGGTTCTGAGAGGGGTCAGAAAGCTGCTGTCTAGGTGCTAATAGTCCCTGCCAGAGGACAAGGTCTGAGCAAGGCTGACGAGGAAGAATTGTGTGGTGCTTTGAAAGCTCTGACTGAGGAGAGCAGCTGCTGGGGGTGGGGATGAGGGAGAAGATGGTTATGCTGATATTTACTGAGACATAGTTCCCGGTGGTTCACACTGGATGCTTTCCCCATCTTCAGCGTGCAGGGACTATTGTCAATCCAGATTCTTACAACAGTAGTCAGTGGGGGAAAGAACTGTGTCTTGTCCTGGCTCAGCCCCCTCTATACCATGTACTCATGCAGGTGCACACAAAGTGGGGTACACTGATGATGAGATTCATTTCAGGGGTACAGATGGCTTTAGAGAACATGAGCCCCGTTGCTGGACAGCGTGGAGTGTCAGGGAACCCCCAGGCCTGAGGTCATCTCAATGAACAAGAAGCAGGAACAAGGCAGAAATGGGGAGCTTTTAAGATGGGGGGCCTAAATGCAAGGGAGGCCAGGCTCCTCCTGCAATGTCCCTCCTGCCCCCCAACATGTGGGAAAGCTGGAACTCGATTTCCTCAGGCGGAGAAGAATAGGGAGCAGACACCTTCGGACCTGCCCGCCCTTGTTTGTCTTGGCTGAGGGCTTCACAGGGCTTTTTGAAGCCGATCCCATCAGTGCAAATCTGGAGGAATCAGGACATGGATCACAGAGGCCGGAGCTGAAGGGGCCTCCGATGGGGAACAAGAGGTAGTCTTCCCTTAAGTAACGTGAATGCCAAGCCTGCTCGCTGCTCCATGTATGTGGCTCGTCTCAAGTCCTGCAGAGGGGCAGGACTTGTGCTAAACCCCTCCAGGACATGCAAGTTCTCAAAGCCACCCAGCCCTGCGTGCCTGGGGTGTGCCTCTGTGCTTCGGACACATACTGATCCTTCCAGTGTCCAGGGGCTTTGGCAACAACACGAGGCCTCCCTGGACTGTGCCCCACCCCTCCCAAGCCCATAATTCCTGATCTTGACTCCGTGCCAACCCCCCTACCACCCTCAGCTCAGCCCGGACACTCCCAGGTCCTGTTCCACACAGATGCCGGTGGGTCACGTGTCCCACAGCTGAAGGCCTCCCCCATCCGCCTCCACCATCTGCTGAGGCCCCATAATTATTCCAAGGCTCTGTGCAGCCTCACTTGGAGGGAAGAGCTCATGCAGCCTTGTAATGTAAGCCAGGCCTGAGGCCGCTCGGGCAGGGGTCCCCAGCTGGGTAATGAGCCTTTCGCTGAGGTGGCCTGGGCTGTCCATCTGAACACCTCATGGAGGACAGCGTCTTCTCTGTATCGCAATTCCTGCTCCCCGAATCCTTCCAAACACAGGGCCGGAGGGGTCCCTAGGACTGGCTTCCCACGTGGGACAGTGTTATGCCTTACCTAGAGCCTAGGCAGGGTGGAGCAGAGCAAGCTGTTGGTCTGTCTTTGCTAGCGTTGTCTTTCGAAAGGCGTGGGGCAGCTCCCACCCCCGCCCCTCCTAAACCTGCTGAGTTGCCCTCATCTCCCCTTCCTGGAGCCTGGGCCCCACAAAGGGAGGGCCTTGGCCGAGGAGGCCAGCGCTGTGGGCCAGGCCTCTGTGAGGGGTGTAGAAAACTGCCTTCTTTCCTCATATAGACGGCGGCTCAGTCTCAAGCCCTACTCAATGTCATCCTGTGGCATAAACCCCAAGCCTGGCCCTTCTGCCCTACCCCTCAGCAGGGTGAGGACCCCAATCCCATATTCCTCGGGCTTATCGTCACCGTTTTGAAATGCTTGTTTTCTGAACATACTGAACAATACCATTGTAGATGTCTGTAGAGCACATAGTAGGTGCTTTAAGAACCACTTGAGGAGAGAGATGGGATAGGGGAAGAGGGGGCAGACATGATGAGAGCTAAGAGGCTTGGCTTGTGGACGAGGGTTGTGTCTGTGAGGCTCCTCGGGGCCTTTGGGTGGCCTGCAGTGGCGCACTCTGCCGCTGAGGGGTAAGGTGGGGCTGGCTAATTTGGGTAATGGTGTCACTATTGTGCCTTCCTGTCACGACCCCACTTGCTCAGGAAACTCAGGGTGAACCTGAGGTCAAGGGTCACCTAGAGTTCACTGACAGAGCGAGGGTGGCCTCCTGCCAGCAATACCTCAGGGCAGGTCCTGAGTTCACCCTGAAGGGTGTGAAGGGTATAGCTATGAAAGGGGCTCTAAAAGACAGGCCAGAGCCCAGCAGGCAATTCCTGCCTCTCACACTCAGTGGTTGAGACACCCCGAGGCCAGGCCTCTGCCTAGCTGTTCAGCCCAACATCTATTCCCAGTGAGGAACTTGGGGCCCAGTGGAACTTGGTGGCAGGAACCTCCTTCCCTGGATGTGAGGGAGTCACAGAGGGGCTCAGGGTGGTGGGGCATGCGCTGTAAGAATGAACTTCAGAATAGTTTAGAAACAAGCTTCAGGGCAGAGGCAGAGAGGGGGAGGCCTCTGCAGGACTGGAAGACTTGCCGGCTACAGGTGTGGGTCCCATGGGGCGGGGGGGCTTGGGCCGTAGTTCCCCTGGCTGTGGGACGACTTGGCAGGCCGAGCCTGCCTTTCCTGTTGAGCTTCCTCTCTTGAGCAGGTGTCTCCTGGGGCTGCAAGGAGGGTCGCCAGTGAAAAATGGGTGAGAGGCTTTCCCCACCAACTCTGAAAAATGGGGCGGGGGCAGATGTCTCTCCCGTTCCTCTCCCCTCCCCAGATTCCTCTCACGGCCTCGGCAGACCCATCAGGCACCCAGCATCCTCCTTCCAAACGCTCGTCCTGGTATGATGGCTTGTGACACGTCTTCCTCGAAGTGCTGGGCAGAAAGCTGCCACTGTCTGACTTCCTTTGCTGGTGTCGCGGGAAGCTGAGCAAGCCACAGTCGGGGCAGGGCTGTGTGGCGGCTCTGGCTTCGAGCAGCAGGAACACAGCTTCTGACATTACACGGATTTCAAAGCAGCCGGCCTCGCCTGCTGTCTGGCTGCATTACTGGAATGGGCCTCCTCGGGGGGGGGGGGGGGCAGGAGGTTTGTTCTGATAGCTTAGCAGATCAAGACCTGACACCCTTCGCTAGCCCTTCAGCAGAGAAAACGGATAGATCTTAGACCCACGCAATGGGAAGGAGTTGGCTCCGAATAGGAGAAGCCAGTACTTCACCAACCTAGGAAGAGGGAGAATCTTTAGGTGATCTTGCAGGTGGTTTTTACAATCCACTTGAACAGGGGGCTGTGGTTGTTCAAGTATATCAGAGGGCAGCCGAGGGCCTCGGGTCCCCCTTCCAGCCACTTCCCTGCTCTTAAGCACTGCAGCCCAGTCTGCTCCCCAATCCCTGTTGGCTTATTCTCACAAAGGTACCTCTTCTTTCCTTCCTTTCCCCATCACTCCGAGCATAAAATGACTGAGATACCCTCAAGCTCTTGGGACAGAAATTGCTTCTAACCTCCCGGTCACTTAACGTCCCTCTTCCCGGGCCTCCCACAAGTACAACCCTTGATTTTCGAAAACTTCTTGACCATTCTGTAAAAACCAGACTTTAGGCTGTACCTTGACAGCCGTTCTGGCAGATGGATGGGGGAGGGGTGGCTTTAAAAGGCCCTGCCCACACCCAACAAGCTGCTGCCCTTGCCTCCTATATTAATGGAGCTGTGTGACACAGGGTGAGTTGCTTAGCTTCACTGTGCATCCTTTGCCTGGGTCCAAACCGGATGTACAGTTTGTGGCAAGGATTAAGATGAACTGATGCCTTACAGAGTCTGGAGTGGTAAGGAGTAATTGGCACGGTTGGTGCTTCCGAGGACCCTGGACAAATTCCACCAGAAGCCTGGAACCCCATGTCCGTAGTGCCTTGGCACCCAAGGGCTCACCAAGCAGGGACCACTGTGGCCACGGGGTGAGGGCAGCTGGGTGGTGGTGTAGGGAAGTCCGGGGACACTGTGGCTGCACCGGCTTCTTGGACTCCACAAGTGTGTAGAGAGAGGAGCGAGGAATGTGATCCGTCCCAGCAGCCCAGGGGAGCCAGACCATATCTGGTATGTCTCTCTGGAACGGTTTTGGGGGAATTCACCAAAGTTGGAACTTAAGACGTGGACTGCCGGTAACCCCGTAACATGGGGATGTGGTGGTGCTGCCTGCGTGCATACCCCCCACAAGGGGACCTGGTGCCCGGGGTGGGAGTCGGCTTATACAGCTCGGCAGCCCTGGCTGCTTGGCCCGCCCTTGAATGGCCGTGAACTTGTTTTTCCACGTCATTTGCTCTCAAATGTACTCTACTGGGCGATGCTAACACAGCGGCTCAGGTCCCTCCTCGTAACAAGCGATTGTGTGTTCTTTAGAGGTGGCTGAGAGGAGGAGGGGGCCTGGCCCCGAGGAGGTGGGGAAAGGAAACAAACCTGCCTCACAGTGAGCGTGCGTGTCCTGGGGCCAGCTCCCCTCAAAGCACATGCCATTCCTGTCCCTGGAAAGGGTTAAAGGCCTCCTGGAGTCAAGAACAAGCAGGTGTCCCACCGTGCCAGAGACTGCTGCCTAAACTGCTTCCAGCTTTCCCCCCTTCTGCAATACAGCCTGTGATCAGCCACGGGACAGAGGCGCCAGCAGCCTGCCTCTGACAGACATCAGGTTAGCTCGCTCCCACTCGGGTGGTGCGTCCAGGATATAAATCCAGGCTCGAGCCCCTGCCGTGTTCCTCTCCCTGCGCACCCGGGGTTGGGGGGGGGGGGGGGACGGAGTTTCCTTCCAAAGACCTTTCTTTTATCTGAAGCCTCACAGCCCAGCAGGCTGCACTTGGTGGAAACGGCCACAGCAGCCGAAGCCAGCAAGCAGCCTCAGCAAGGAGACTTGCTGGGGTGAAGAGGGCAGGTGTGCCAGCCCCTGGAGAAGGAGGGCCCTAGTGGGCCTCAGCCTTGGTGTCATCACAAGAAAGCCCTCTGGCCACTGCAGACGGCACCATGCGGGTCCCAGGGTATCATCGGTTTTGGTTCCACTGGGGGCTGCTGTTGCTGCTGCTCCTGGGGGCACCCCTTCGAGGCTTAACATTGCCACCCATCCGATATTCCCATGCGGGCATCTGCCCCAACGACATGAACCCCAACCTTTGGGTGGATGCCCAGAGCACGTGCAAGCGAGAGTGTGAAGCTGATCAGGTGAGTGGGGCTCCTTTAGCCAGAGATGGACCATTGAGTGGGTCTGTGGTGGTGTGGGAGCTGTGGGGTGGGGGTGATTCAGGAGGGGCTCCAGGAACATGAAGGAACACAGACAGACCCTGCCCACCTGAAGACAACCGGGGCTTGATGCTTGCTTATATCCTGCCGAGGCCTGGAAGGGGGCGTGGTATCCAAACCACTTTGGAGCATCCCTCTTTGTGTTTGTTGAGGGCTGCTGTAGGCCAGCGGGGCACTGGGCACATAACATGTATAGGGATAACAAAACAGCGTGGTAGATGGGTAGCAGCCCACTCACAGGTGAGAGAGATGGATACCCACAAGGAGAGATGCCGTAGCCAGGGAGGAACAGGTTGGCTTGGAAACCTGCCTACCTGACGCTGTGTCTGCACCTCATTTTGCCTGGTTTCTAGGCCCTTTCCCAGGTTTGGACTTGGCCACACAGCGGTGAGGCTGCTGGGCAGTTTTGAGTGGGAGCTAGTCTGTGCAAATACTCTAAGTGTCCTGGGAAGAAAACGAACTGAGTTCCCACCTGTTGGGCTCTTCAATGCTCCCATATGCTCCTCCCTCATGGACGCTGCAGTAGGCAAGGGCCACTTCCAGATGGTTCTTCCCTGGCTACCCGGTGGGTTCTTCCAAGAGCTGTCTTTGTCCAGTCCTGCTGGGAGAAAAGTCTATAGGTTTACCATAGTACCTGTGCCTACTAACCCATGCCTGCCCTTGGTGTGGCCACTTCCAGCCTGGCCATCTCTGAGGGTGGCCCAGAGTCTCCCAGGGCCTTGGGTCTGATGGAGGCATCACTGATGAACATGGGAGGTCCCAGTGCTACTGGGAGTAGCTGTTCACACTGGGAAAGCATGGGACTTCCATGGAGAGAGTGGCTTCTGCCTCATACCCAGGTACCATTCTCAGGCTTCTCAAGACAGGTATACACACTGGTGGTGCTGAGAAAGAAGGACCAGGGAAAGATGGCAATTCTGCCACCCAGAGAGCTCATGCCATCAGATGATGCCTTTGGAAGCTCATGCCTTTGGAGAAACTTTTTCCCTGATACTGGTTAGCCTGGAATCAGGAGGCACTTAGGGACAGTGGAGCTCTGGCTGACTTTGTCTGCTGTCTGGGGAAGGCACCTGAGTGCAGCTAAGCATCCAGGTAGCCCATGGGGATACTGTAAGTCCTTAAATGAAAGTATTCTAAATATCCCCTGCAGGGTTTCTTCACTAGGTCCCCAAAGGCTCTGGTTCTGAAGTGTCCAGCTATTCCTGGACCTCTGGGTCCTGAGGGAACAGCCTACTCACATTGGAACAGAAAAGCCCTCAGACCAAGGAACAGGTTTTCCTGTTCACCGGTTTGCTCTGTCCCTGTCCACCCTCCACTCCTGAGATCTCTGTCCCTTGAACATCAGCTCTGAATGTGACCCATCTCTGTCCCCGAGCTTCCCCTGTTGTGGCCCAGAAGCCTATGCCAAACAAGGGCTGCCAAACAAAGTCTTTATTCTAAGCTGAAAGGGGAAAACAGTAGAGAAGTCAAGCGGCGGCTCCGCACAGCCGGGTGGGGCTGTTTTCCCCCTCTTAGTTCATGTGGAATGTCAAAAGGGCTGGAATCAAAGGGGTAGGACAAGGGGCCAGTGTGGTGGGGACTGCTTCACACAGCCACTACCTGGTAGAGGCTTAGCAGCCCAGCCGGTCGCCCAGCCACGCGGTGTGCAAAGCGCCACATGCAACCGTGTTTGTGCCGGCTCTAGTGGTATGTGCTAATTTTGAAGAATTAAAGTAAAGCCCTCCATGACTCCACAGAAGTCAGAGGGGGATTACAGACTAGCAAGCCTTTGCTCATACCACACAGGGGGACTTTTTTTTTCCTGGTCACCAGGGTTCTCTGACATCCCGGATTCAGTGTGTGTTGCTGGGGTCTTCTAGAAAGTTGTGGTTAGCCTTGAACATGGGTCCAGATGTGACCTCTTCACGTTAGCCAACACATCCTTCCCCCAGTGGGAAAAAGAGGAAAAGTCAGCCTCATGCTGTAAGCCTTCATCTGGGTAACCATATGGTGTTCCATTTCAGGATCCCACTTAAGAGAGCCTGAAGCCCTTTGCTGCCACCTCTCATCTCTGTGGCTTGAGTGCCGTCTCTCTGCCTCTCTATGTTCTCGTTCTGAAAATGACAGTGAGCACATTTCCCCTTTCAGAGGTCTGTGGTGCATCCCTTCCCGCACTACCAGCTCTGTGGTTTGGGCGAGTTGTTTAACCTCTCTGTGCTTCAGACTCCGTACAAGGTGGGAATAGTGGTTGTACCCCCTTGGACCTGGAAGAGAGTGGTAAGGCTGAGGGATGGACAGGAGCCTGACAGACAGTAGGTGCTGAGTCTACAGGGGTTCTTATTGACGTTAAGTGCTTTGTGTACACACGCGCATGCGCTTGCACACACACACAGATGAGTCTTCATATCCCAGTCTCTAGGGGGCGATGTGAGACTCTGTTCTTGCTTCCTCGCTGTTCAAAACTCTGACTCTTTCAGGAGTGTGAGACCTATGAGAAGTGCTGCCCCAATGTGTGCGGGACCAAGAGCTGCGTGGCAGCCCGCTACATGGACGTGAAAGGGAAGAAGGGCCCTGTGGGCATGCCCAAGGAGGCCACGTGCGACCACTTCATGTGCCTGCAGCAGGGCTCTGAGTGTGACGTCTGGGACGGACAACCCGTGTGCAAGTGCAAAGACCGCTGCGAGAAGGAGCCCAGCTTCACCTGTGCCTCCGACGGCCTCACCTACTACAACCGCTGCTACATGGATGCCGAGGCCTGCTCCAAGGGCATCTCCCTGGCTGTGGTCACCTGCCGCTACCACTTCACCTGGCCCAACACCAGCCCACCACCGCCTGAGACCACTGCCCATCCTACCACGGCCTCTCCAGAGACTCTGGGGATGGATATGGCAGCCCCAGCCTTGCTCAACCATCCTGTCCATCAGTCGGTCACTGTGGGCGAGACGGTGAGCTTCCTCTGTGATGTGGCGGGCCGGCCGCGGCCCGAGCTCACTTGGGAGAAACAACTGGAGGACAGAGAGAATGTGGTCATGAGGCCCAACCACGTGCGTGGCAATGTGGTGGTCACCAACATCGCCCAGCTGGTCATCTACAACGCCCAGCCCCAAGATGCTGGCATCTACACCTGTACGGCTCAGAACGCTGCTGGCGTCCTAAGGGCTGACTTCCCACTGTCAGTGGTCAGGGGTGGTCAGGCAAGAGCCACCTCAGAGAGCAGTCTCAATGGCACGGCTTTCCCAGCAACTGAGTGCCTAAAGCCTCCCGACAGTGAGGACTGTGGAGAGGAGCAGACACGCTGGCACTTCGATGCCCAGGCTAACAACTGCCTCACTTTTACCTTTGGCCATTGCCATCGCAATCTCAACCACTTTGAGACCTATGAGGCCTGCATGCTGGCTTGTATGAGCGGGCCTCTGGCCACGTGCAGCCTGCCCGCCCTGCAGGGGCCCTGCAAAGCCTACGTGCCACGCTGGGCCTACAACAGCCAGACAGGCTCATGCCAGTCCTTCGTCTACGGTGGCTGCGAGGGCAACGGCAACAACTTTGAAAGCCGTGAGGCCTGCGAGGAGTCGTGTCCGTTCCCACGGGGCAACCAGCACTGTCGGGCCTGCAAGCCACGGCAGAAACTCGTCACCAGCTTCTGCCGAAGTGATTTTGTCATCCTGGGCAGGGTCTCGGAGCTGACTGAGGAGTCCGACTCGGGCCGTGCCCTGGTGACCGTGGATGAGGTCCTGAAAGACGAGAAGATGGGCCTCAAGTTTCTGGGCCGGGAGCCACTGGAAGTCACGCTGCTTCACGTAGACTGGGCCTGCCCTTGCCCCAACGTGACAGTGGGCGAGACCCCGCTCATCATCATGGGGGAGGTGGAGAGCGGCATGGCCATTCTGAGACCTGACAGTTTCGTGGGCGCATCGAGCACACGGCGGGTCAGGAAGCTTCGTGAGGTCGTGCACAAGAAAACCTGCGATGTCCTCAAGGATTTCCTGGGCTTGCGCTGAGGCTGGCCCGTCTACCCTGACCCTTCTCCACCCACCCACCCCCTGCCCTCAGCCAGCCAACGGGTGAGATCAGGTTAGGCAACCGTGGCCAGCGGAGCAAGCTCAGCTAACATGTGGGAAGAAACCAACCATAGGTCTAAAAAACGATCTCTAGTCTTTGGGTTCCACAGAAGATCCATGTCTTTTCTAGCTGGGAGAGAGGCTGGCTGGGCAAGAAAAGACACATGTAAGTTATTTCCCATGAGCGGGCCCTTGAGGTAGCCTCATCCCCCTTTGCTGACCCATGTCCCTCTGCCCAGTCTCCTAGCCAGGATCAGAAAGAGATGGCATCCACGCTGTTAAAAGGGTTAGCTTGTATAGGGGATGTGTGAGGAGAGAGCAGAGAGTTCAAGGGTTGCTTAAGACGACTTCCCCACCGCCTGCTGCATCACTGTAATCAGAGGTGGCCTCCCGTTAAGGGTTGTGAACCTTTGGAAGCCACTGTCCAACCCAGGATATAACTTTATCCTAATGGAGGCTGCAGGGACGGCTGCCTTTGATGGAGTCAGTTTGTGTCCCTGAGGTTACCACATCAGCAAAAGCCCTGTTTTTCTCTCCTCAGTTGCACTGCTTTGTTGGGTGGGTTGCTTCTGTTCCTTTCAGTTCAGTTCAGTGGGCACTTCCTGGGTGCCAGGTGCTAGGACCATAGAGAGTGGTCCTGCTCCCCTGGTAGAGCCGAAAAACGCCAAGTACTCATCCCCCAGGAGCCAGTGGCTGATTGGCAGCAGTCAGCCACTACCATCTGATGGACGGTATGCTTTTATAGACCAGGGACTTCCTTGGAGAAGTCCCAGGATCTGTTTTGGTAGCAAGGGAAATAAGGAAGACAAAAGGCAGGAGGGGCAGCGGACAGACAGGCCAGGAATCACAACAGAGGCGGGCCTAGGGAGAAGGAATATTGCTCGATGCTGCCATCTAGTGGTGAATGTTGATATCTACAGGGATCTGGTGGGAGAAACTATCTAGGCCGGGTCTGGAAGGGACCTTTTGGAGACGGCAGCTCTGAGATCACTTGTTTCTCCGGGTCCCAGGCACACAGGCACTGGGTAGAGGATTTGGAACCCCTCTGCCATCTCTGCATCTCTCCTCTTCCCTCTTCAGCCCTTCATTCTGTCCACATCCCTCCAAAGGAGGCATTGTGGGATGCCCTAATGTCTTTCTCAAATATAAGGAATACGATACTAAATAAAATGTCATAGTGTCTACTGTTCTACATGTGTGGCTCTTTTGAGAAGGCAAGGACGGGCCTGCAATCACGTCATTGGTCCTGTGTGACCTTTCAGAAGGGAAATCTGGCCAACGGGACCATATTTGGGCCGGGGGGGGGGGGTGCACTGTAGATTTTCAGGTCCCCTATGGGGTTCTTTAACTGTGGCCCTCAGTGGATGAGCAGGAAGAAACAGAGCCAAGAAGGCAGAGTGACTTGTCCATAGTGAGAGGTAGAGAGTCCTAGGGCCCTGATGTACGGTCTAAGTGCTCCATAGGGGATGGTGGGGCAGCAGGGTCGTAGACCCTGCCTCTGATACTGCGGAGTCTAAGTGAGGTGGGAGAGACAAGAGCAGGGGAGGCTGCTGCTCAGCTGTGACATCTAGACTTCAGAATGAGGCTCGTGTCCAGTGTCCTCGGGGAGCCCACTGCGTTCTGATGATGCTGGCGCTGGCAGCGGTGCATCTGGCCCCAGAGCGGCTGGAACCCATAGCCGCTCTGACCCTCAAAAGAGGCACCTCTCTCCTGCAGTTCCCTGTGCAGAGCCGTACCCAAAGAAGGGATCCAGGCCAGGTTCAGCCTAGCCTAGAACAACCATTTTCACCTATAGCGAAGGTTTGAAGAGAGGGCAAGGAGCTTCTATTTTCTGAGAGAAGAGCGGGCGGGGGTGGCAACTCCAAGCCATCACTGAAGGACACTGAGCAAGAAACTTAGCCATCAGGATGGCATAAGTCATGGTCATTTTCCAACCTGGTCAGGTGTCCAGGGAGGGGCTGTCATCTCACTCTGTGCTTAGAGGCCTGAGGGCATTGGCTGAACCTGCTTCTAGGCCACAATGTCTAACAAATAGCCTCAGAGCCCAAAGGGCAAGCGCCTAGTGCCCAGCCACACCTTCTGGGTGCCACTGTAGTTCACCTACAACAACAGGAGTCTAAGCCTCACAGTTAGGCCCAGCTTGTTGTTCTGCTCTCGTGGTAAAGACAGAAGTTCCGTGTTCTGCCCACAGTGCTAGACCAACAAAACAGAACCACCGAGCCCACGAGACCAGGCTCACCAAGATCTGATTCCAGCCTCTGCCACCAACCTGCTCTCTCTGAACCCCTTCATGTCTATCCCCAGAGAGTAGTAAGAACACGGAGGAGGGGGACATTATGTTCCCAGCTGGTTGTTACTGTGTGTACTACCATGCAGCTGGCTTTACGGGATTCAAACTCAGGTCCTCATGCATATGAGGCAAGTGCTTTGGCACCAAGCCGTCTCCTCAGCCCTGGATTTGTTTGGTGTTGTTTTTGACAGAGTCTCTCAGTATAACTCAAACTCACCTCAGATCTGCCTCAAACTCATGATTCTCCTGCCGCAGACAATCTGGTGCTGAGATTACAGGCATGTCACGGGGAGACCTGGGATTCCACCAATCACTTTTGTAAGACTTCAGCCTGGCGTGGAGTGTCCCTTCTCCCTGGTAAAGCTCCCTGGACAAGGATGGGCCGCAGGACCTCACACCTCCCGTCATCGTCTGGGCCTTGGTCGACGCCTGTTCTCACAGAGGGCATCTGAAATGAGCCCCACACAAGGACTGATTTGGGGCTCAGTAGCTATGAGTCCTGAAGGGATGGGTGGTTAAGAAACTATGGCCATCTCTGACCTGCTGTGTGAGACAGATCTTTCTCTCGAAATGCGGCTTTGTCTTTCCCTCTTTGCTGGCCTTATGCAATGGCCGGCAGGTTCTCGGGCTGACCTGAGTTTGCAGGGCAGGGGGTACCAGGCAACCTGTGAAGGTCACCTGGCTCAGTCTGGGAGACATAGCCTCAGTCCTGCTCCAGGACACAAAGATCACAAGGCCACCTGCAGCAAGGCCAGTCCTGCTTCCCATGGTGGTAGAGCTCACTCCTCACCTTCTCAAGGCTGGATGGCTCTCTTTCCCACTGGCCGGCTCTCCAAGCCTTTTCTTCCCTTCTAATCTATTCAGGCTTGGCTGACACTAGACCAGAACTGTCTCCACCACCCTTAAGCAAGGCACTGTGGCTTTGTTTACCCTCCTCCCTCCCTCTTCCTGAACCCCAGCCTCCTGGGACACTCTGCTCCATTGTCTGGCCAGCTGTTCCCTGGTCTGATGTCACCCTCTGGACAGTGGCACCAGAAAGTCACCCAAGTGTTAGGACAAAAAAAAAAAAAAACCATCTAGGGAAAGGGGACAGTGGTCACACAGCCTCGGGGCTGTTTCTGTCTGCTAGGATCTCCAACTGCCCCATGGTGATAACGTGGGGCCAACAGAGTTCACTTTGCGGCAGTGCCAACACCTTCTCCTGTGGTCTGCACTGAGCTGGCATGAGGCACAATGCTGCTTCGTAGGTGGGAAGACTAAGGCAAGAGTAACGAGAATTTTCTCAGCTGTGCGCCAAAGCCCAGGGCTACAATTCCAGCACTGGGAGCCAGAGGCAGGAGGAGTTCAAGCTCAAGGCCAGATTTGTTTTCTCAAAAACAAAGGTAAAACAACAACAACAAAACAAACAAAGAAAAATGGACTGGGGGGGGGGTGGCGCAGTACAAGCGTGAAGACACAAGTTCGGATCCCTAGAATCTATGTAAGAGGCTGGGGGAGGTAAATTCAGGAGAAAACGGAGGAGGGGAGGCTTGTCCAGTCAGTCAGACAGGCAGGATGTGTGAGTATCAGGTCCAGTGAGAAGTCTTGTTCCAAAAATACGGAGGCAGAGAGATGGTTCAGTGAGTAAAAGGGTCTGCTGCCATGCCTGAATGCAATCCTTAGCACACGGCAGAAAGAACCTATTCCCACAAGTTACACACACACACATGCACACACGCGCGCACCTACACACACGCTGCGGCAATGCTCACCCCACATACACACAATAAATAAATATGTAAAAAGTAAATACTAATAAAATAAGGTGGGGACTGACAGAGGAAGACACCTGATGCCAACCTCTGGCCTCCGCAAGGGCAGGCACTGGCAACCATACCTGCATGCGCACACAGGTACATGTGCACACACAGAAACTTCCCCAGGATCACACAGCTGCCAACCGGCAAAGTCAAGGGTTGTGTAGTGCTATGGAGAACTCTGAATGCTTGTTACACTGTTTCTATTAGTGTATGAAACACACACACACACACACACACACACACAGAGGCACGCAAGCAGGCACGCACGCAGGCACACGCACACACACCCTGCTCTGCCTGGCTGGGCAGTGAGGAGTCCAATCTTGAACCCAGATGCCTCGGCAGACGGTGCCTTCACCCAGTCATTCTCAGGCGCTTCACCCCAGAGCTGTTTACATCCTGGGCACGTGACCAGCTTCCATCACACATGACTGCAGTCATGGCCTAGATTCCTGAGCCAGACATTAGCCTTATACCGCCTCATCCTTCAGCAGGCAGCTCCTTGGGGGACGCCTCTGCTGTTCCGAGGCTGCCTCGGCCTCTCCTCCAAGCCTGGCCTCCCTCTATGCTGGTGCCGACCCAAATCAGAGTAATGACCAAGGGCTCCAGGAACACCGTGGCCCTGCTCAGAACTCACAAGGGGGTTCGCCAGATGAACACAGGATCTGGGAGGAGGGCCCTGTGGAGCCACCACCTTTTGTGACCACCAGGGGCCAAGAAGGGTCCCTCTGGGGGTCTTTCTGTCTTCTCAGTCCCACTCTGTACACTCCCTCTTCTTATCCCACCTCCCCAAGGAGCCCGGGGCTCCCTTCTCCTCCTCTCTAGGGAATGTATGAGTAAGGCAGGCAGGACCGTGGCAGGGCTCCTGGGTCCTATTCTTGGTGGTGCCCTCATTCTGGAATGTGCCCTGAGGTCAATGACACTGCTCTCAGGCTGTGCTAGGAGGAAGGAAGGAGAAGCTTCCAAAGGCACCACCCAAGGAAGAGTGTGGGCTGGCAGGTGGGCAGGCTGGCCGGTCCTCTCCTCTCACATCTTAGGCTCCCAAGCACCTTCTACTTCAAGGTCAGGTTGGAGTCTCTGTGTTCACATCCCAAGTTAACTTAGGACAGGGAACCCTGACACCCAGACATCTAACAAACAATAAGCTCATTCGTATGAAGGGAATAACAGACTCTGTCCCGGCATGTACCAGTCCAGACTGGCCCAGAGGTGGGGCCTCTCCCTAGCACATCCCTGGGAAGGTACAGGGTACCCCAACACACCGATGTTATCTGCCCCTTCCAAGTCTTGAGGAAATTACCAGCATCCTGGTAGGATGAAGCTGTAGCCATTTTGATTCTGTTTCCTGGTTTATGGAGAGGAAACTATGCCACTCTGTCTAGCAAACAGCAGAAGATGGTGGCTGGTGGCTGTCTTGTGCCCTTTGTGGGTGACAATCAGAAAGCAGGACCTTCCTGAGAGGAGTAGCTACCACAGACAGGGACGAACACTTGAGTCCCCACAATGCTGACTTGTGTCCTTCGCATAGGCTGCCCGACTCAACCCTCACAGTCTCCTATGGTTCATTTTCATTGTCAGCTTGATTAGATGGGAAGCACCCAGGAGACTCGTCTCTGAGCCTATCCGGAGGGTGTTTCCAGAGAGATTTAACAGAGGAAGAAATACTCACCCCGAATGTGGGTGGCAACATCCCACGAGCTGGAGTCCCAGACTAAACAAAAAAGGGAAAAAGCAGCTCAGTTGGCACAGTGCTGATCTGCAAGTATGAGGACCTTAGTTCAAGGTCCAGACCCCGCCCCCTCCCCCAACACAAATCCAGGCATGATGATGTAAGCTTGGAATCCCAGCACTGAGGAGGTAAAGACGGCTGGGTTCTTGGGGCTTGCAGGCCCTCTGGTCTAGCCTACTCGACAGCTCCGAATTAGTGAGAGTCTGTCTCCCAAAGACTAATGCCAGAGCTTGGCATCTGGCTTTCACATGCACATGGCATGCACATCATGTACACACACACGCATGTACATGTACATACATGCACGCCATGTACAAACGGGCACT